TGGGCTGTTTTAGTTCCGATTTCTTGGGTTTTTTTGGGGATTTTTGGGCCGTTTTTGATGGGGATTTTTGCCTCACCTGCCTCACCTGCCTCACCTGTGTCTCACCTGTGTCACCTGTCAGGGCTGGACCAAGCCCAACGCGTTCCACGTGTGCATCACCTCCTACAAGCTGGTGCTGCAGGACCACCAGGCGTTCCGCAGGAAGAACTGGAAGTACCTGATCCTGGACGAGGCGCAGAACATCAAGAACTTCAAATCCCAGCGCTGGCAGTCCCTGCTCAACTTCAACAGGTGAGCGCCGCACCTGGGCGCACCTGGATACACCTGGGGTGCGCCTGGATACACCTGGGGTGCGCCTGGATACACCTGGGCACACCTGGGTACACCTGGGGTGCGCCTGGATACACCTAAGTTACCTGGGACACACCTGAGTTACCTGGGGTACACCTGGGCACACCTGGGCACACCTGGATACACCTGGGGTGCGCCTGGATACACCTGGGGCGCACCTGGATACACCTGGGGTACACCTGGATACACCTGGGGTGCGCCTGGATACACCTGGGCACACCTGGATACACCTGGGCACACCTGGATACACCTGGGGCGCACCTGGATACACCTGGGGTACACCTGGATACACCTGGATACACCTGGGCACACCTGGGGTGCGCCTGGATACACCTGGGGTACACCTGGATACACCTGGATACACCTGGGCACACCTGGGGTACACCTGGGCACACCTGGATACACCTGGGGTGCGCCTGGATACACCTGGAGCGCACCTGGATACACCTGGGCACACCTGGATACACCTGGGGTGCGCCTGGGCACACCTGAGTTACCTGGGAGACACCTGAGTTACCTGGGATATACCTGGGGTACACCTGAGGTACCTGGGGCACACCTGGATACACCTGGGCACACCTGGAGCACACCTGAGTTAGCTGGCAGACACCTGGGATACATCTGGGGTACACCTGGATACACCTGGGCACACCTGGATACACCTGGGGTACACCTGGATACACCTGGGCACACCTGGATACACCTGGGGTACACCTCGGCACACCTGAGTTACCTGGGACACACCTGAGTTACCTGGGATATACCTGGAGCACACCTGAGTTAGCTGGGGTACACCTGGGCACACCTGGGGTGCACCTGGGTTAACCGGGATTCACCTGGGGCACACCTGGGCACACCTGGGCGCACCTGGGCACACCTGGGCACACCTGGGCTCTTTTAGTTCTGATTTTTGGGGTTTTTGGGCCGTTTTATTTTGGATTTTTTGGGGATTTTTGGGCCGTTTTTGATGGGGATTTTTGCCTCACCTGTCTCACCTGTGTCTCACCTGTGTGTCAACTGTATCTCACCTGTATCTCACCTGTCTCACCTGTCAGGGCTGGACCAAGCCCAACGCGTTCCAGGTGTTCATCATCTGGGCACACCTGGGCACACCTGGGCACACCTGGGCTGTATTATTTTTGATTTTTTGGGCTTTTTTTTGGGGATTTTTGGGCTGATTTCGATGGGGATTTTTGCCTCACCTGCCTCAGCTGTCTCTCACCTGTCTCACCTGTCTCTCACCTGTATCTCACCTGTTAGGGCTGGACCAAGCCCAACACCTTCCAGGTGTGCATCACCTGGGCACACCTGGGCTGATTTAATTCCGATTTTTTTGGGATTTTTGGGTCTTTTTCGATGGGGATTTTTGCCTCACCTGCCTCACCTGTGCCTCACCTGTGTCTCACCTGTCCCACCTGTCAGGGCTGGACCAAGCCCAATGTGTTCCAGGTGTGCATCACCTGGTCCAGGCTGGGCACACCTGGGCGCACCTGGGCACACCTGGGCTGTTTTAGTTTCGATTTTTGGGGGTTTTAGGCCGTTTTATTTTGGATTTTTTGGGGATTTTTGGGCCGTTTTCGATGGGGATTTTTGCCTCACCTGCCTCACCTGTGCCTCACCTGTCCCACCTGCAGCCAGCGGCGGCTGCTGCTGACGGGCACGCCGCTGCAGAACTCGCTGATGGAGCTGTGGTCGCTGATGCATTTCCTGATGCCGAGCGTCTTCCAGTCGCACCGGGAGTTCCGCGAGTGGTTCCACAACCCCCTGACGGGCATGATCGAGGGTAGCCAGGAGTACAACGAGAGCCTGGTGAAGAGACTACACAAGGTACCTGGGCACACCTGCGATACACCTGGGCACACCTGGGAATGGGTACATAGAGATAGGATACACCTGGGTTACACCTGGGCACACCTGAGTTACACCTGGGCACACCTGAGCACCAGGATCGAGGGTAGCCAGGAGTACAACGAGAGTTTAGTGAAGAGATTGCACAAGGTAACGCACCTGGGCACACCTGGGCACACCTGGGCACACCTGGGAATGGGTACACACACCTGGGAATGGGTACGTGTAGATAGGAAACACCTACATTGCATTGGGGCACACCTGGGCACACCTGAGCGCCAGGATCGAGGGCAGCCAGGAGTACAACGAGAGCCTGGTGAAACGGCTGCACAAGGTAACGCACCTGGGCACACCTGGGCACACCTGGGCACACCTGGGAATGGGTACACACACCTGGGATACACCTGGGCACACCTGAGCGCCAGGATCGAGGGCAGCCAGGAGTACAACGAGAGTTTAGTGAAGAGGCTGCACAAGGTAACGCACCTGGGCACACCTGGGCACACCTGGGCACACCTGGGCACACCTGGGCACACCTGGGAATGGGTACATAGAGATAGGATACACCTGGGTTACACCTGGGCACACCTGGGAATGGGTACACACACCTGGGATACACCTGGGCACACCTGGGCACACCTGGGCACACCT